ACTATAATACAATTTTAAAGATAATCATATTCCTTGCCAAAAATAATAAACTTCTGAAACAATTTATAAAGAGATTGTGAAATTATTACCGAAAAAGCGAAATAATTATTTCAAATTTGATTCTTTTTAATTTTGATTATTTTATCAAAGAAAGTTGATTTAGATCGTACTATTTCGAAAAACACTACTATTACGCTATGAGCCATTAATTACGGACCACCCTGTAGTTATTTCATAATAGGGTCATAACATATGGCTCCTGCTCGGGCTAATGGCGAACCAATTCGTAAAAATTTGTCGTATACTTTAAAACATTAAAATTGCCCGCCATTGGAAACAGTTCCTCGTGCCCCGTAATATGCGAGAATCTACAAATTTTGGAGCTATGACAGAAGATGTTAGTATTCCATTACACATTCCTGACATTTTCTCAGTGTCTATTATTTTGGTAACGTAGTATAGCTATATATTTTTCTTTAATTTTATTTTTTAAATGCTCACATTTGAGTATTGGCATATATTTTCTTTGTTTTATATATTTTTCTATTTCAAATATTTTGGACCACGAGTTTAATATGTCTTCGTGTTTTTTGTTAGGCATAGCGTTTCTGATAGGTGTCTATATATTTGAAAACGTACAAGTTATAACAGAGACACCCCTGTGTGGAAGTCGTGTCGTTACTCGCTGATAGCGGTCTCTGTCTATTAAGTGCATGTTCCTATTACACCTTGATCAATTTATTGTAAGGTAAATCACCATTGTTGAAATTTTTCATAAATTCATTCTCGAGTAATCTACAGTCTATTTTTCTGGCTTCTGTGCTAATTTTGTTTATCGTTTCCTGGAGTTTGTTTTTTTGCGTAAGCAACGATTTCTAGAGCTTTTTCTCAGAGTTTTCTTACTAAGATTGTTTCGTTCTAACGCGATATTAAAAATCATCAACCGTTTCTTCTTTCTTCTATCACATAACATTTCTAAACATTAATCTGGAGATAGTACTTTACCAATCACAGAAAATTACTTTTTTTTTATTAACATCGAGTCCAAAGAATTATTATACTTACAAAAAGCTTTTCCAATGGCAATATGTTCTAATACTGCTATCAATGGACAAAATATTACTACGGTACCGTACTCGCTTATCATTTCTTGGAAATTAAAGTCTGTACCGTTTAAAGTAGCAGAAAATGGGGGAAGTTGAAAAGGTGGTAAACCACCTTCGACATTTCCTGTAACAAAATAAAATCATTATAAGAAACAGCTATTATTGAATGATTATTACAAAAAGAATCAAAAATCGTTACTCACCAGTTAATTTAAAAGGAGTATCCCCATTCTGTTTACATACAAAAGCTACAATACTACTAATTAAGACGATAATGGCATTACTGGCCAACGAAAACATAAAAATGCATATTCCCAGTACGTTTCTCTTCCTAGTCCAATCAGGGCGCTTTTTTAATGTACCAAATCGTCTTGTTTCCTAAAATTAGTTTTGATTAGTTTTATGAACTAATTAAAGCATACTATTCTGTTTTAAACACCTTAGCTGTGACTAAAAACACTATGGTGACGAGCCCCAGCAAGCTATCTGGTAAACTAATCTTCTTAATCTCGTGGAACACTGAAATCCAAGCTTGTAAAAAATTATCGGATTTACCGGGAATACCCAAAAGGGATTTCACTTGAGATGAGCCAATATTTAAAGCTGCCGCAGTTGTAAAGCCTGCTATCACTGGATATGAGAAAAATTCTACAATAAAACCTGAAAAAAATATATAATTATAAAAACCTATATTATACCTAATTTTCATAAATTTTTCAATATTTGACTCATCTTAAATTATAGAAATAATAATTATTTCGTTAATACTAAACAGTATGTTATAATTCAAATTCTTTTGGTATAGCGGTATAATTATATTAATTACTAGCTGACCCGATCCCGCTTCGCTGGAATTTCTCAATCCTGAAAAAATGTTTTATTAGTTTTTATTATTTTAATTTTTACTAAATTTTATTAATTTTTACTAATTTTATTAATTTTTATTAATTTTTATTAATTTAATTTTAACTAATTTTTACTAATTTTTACTAATTTTACTAATTTTTACTAATTTTTACTAATTTTTACTAATTTTTAATAATTTTTACTAATTTTTACTAATTTTTACTAATTTTTACTAATTTTTACTAATTTTTACTAATTTTTACTAATTTTTACTAATTTTTACTAATTTTTACTAATTTTTACTAATTTTTACTAATTTTTACTAATTTTTACTAATTTTTACTAATTTTTACTAATTTTTACTAATTTTTACTAATTTTTACTAATTTTCACTCATTTTTATTAATTATTATTAATTTATTTTTATTAATTTTTATTAATTTTTATTAATTTTTATTAATTTTTATTAATTTTTATTAATTTTTATTAATTTTTATTTATTTTTATTAATTTTTATTAATTTTTATTAATTTTTAATAATTTTTAATAATTTTTAATAATTTTTATTAATTTTTATTAATTTCTATTAATTTTTATTCATTTTTATTAATTTTTATTAATTTTTATTTAACTTTTATTAATTTTTATTAATTTTTATTAATTTTTATTAATTTTTATTAATTTTTATTAATTTTTATTAATTTTTATTAATTTTTATTAATTTTTATTAATTTTTATTAATTTTTATTAATTTTTATTAATTTTTATTAATTTTTATTAATTTTTATTAATTTTTATTAATTTTTATTAATTTTTATTAATTTTTATTAAATTTTATTAATTTTTATTAATTTTTATTAATTTTTATTAATTTTTATTAATTTTTATTAATTTTTATTAATTTTTATTAATTTTTATTAATTTTTATTAATTTTTATTAATTTTTATTAATTTTTATTAATTTTTATTAATTTTTATTAATTTTTATTAATTTTTATTAATTTTTATTAATTTTTATTAATTTAATTTTTATTAATTTTTAATAATTTTTAACAATTTTTAACAATTTTTATTAATTTTTATTAATTTTTATTAATTTTTATTAATTTTTATTAATGTTTATTAATTTTTAAAAATTTTTATTAATTTTTATTAATTTTTATTAATTTTTAATAATTTTTATTAATTATTTATTTTTATTAATTTTTATTAATTTTTATTTAACTTTTATTAATTTTTATTAATTTTTATTAATTTTTATTAATTTTTATTAATTTTTAATAATTTTTAATAATTTTTATTAATTTTTATTAATTTTTAATAATTTTTATTAATTTTTAATAATTTTTAATAATTTTTATTAATTTTTATTAATTTCTATTAATTTTTATTAATTTTTATTAATTTTTATTAATTTTTATTAATTTTTATTAATGTTTATTAATTTTTAAAAATTTTTATTAATTTTTATTAATTTTTATTAATTTTTATTAATTTTTATTAATTTTTAATAATTTTTATTAATTATTTATTTTTATTAATTTTTATTAATTTTTATTTAACTTTTATTAATTTTTATTAATTTTTATTAATTTTTATTAATTTTTATTAATTTTTATTAATTTTTATTAATTTTTATTAATTTTTATTAATTTTTATTAATTTTTATTAATTTTTATTAATTTTTATTAATTTTTATTAATTTTTATTAATTTTTATTCATTTTTATTCATTTTTATTCATTTTTATTCATTTTTATTCATTTTTATTCATTTTTATTCATTTTTATTTATTTTTATTTATTTTTATTTATTTTTATTTATTTTTATTTATTTTTATTTATTTTTATTTATTTTTATTTATTTTTATTTATTTTTATTTATTTTTATTTAATTTTATTTATTTTTATTTATTTTTATTTATTTTTATTTATTTTTATTTATTTTTATTTATTTTTATTTATTTTTATTTATTTTTATTTATTTTTATTTATTTTTATTTATTTTTATTTATTTTTATTTATTTATTTTTATTTATTTTTATTTATTTTTATTTATTTTATTTTTATTTATTTTATTTTTATTTATTTTTATTTATTTTTATTTATTTTTATTTATTTTTATTTGTTTTTATTTTATTTTTATTTGTTTTTATTTGATTTTATTTATTTTTATTTATTTTTATTTATTTTTACGATACACCCCATTTCCCTTTCCTTCATATGTGAAAATCCAAAAATCTTGAAATACGTCATTATTTACTTGATGAGGTCTACAATTCCAATTTTCAAGGTCCTACTTTTAAAAAACCAAAAGTCTCATTTAAACTTTCGCCTCCCGTTTCCCTCCTTAATGTGTAAAAATCTAAATACCCTGAAACATGTCTATTTATTTATTATGAGTACCTACAATTTCAATTTTCAAATTCTTACCTTTGAAAAATCGATAGCCTCATAAAAACTTTTACACCCTCACCTTTCCCCGATGTTCCCACTTTCCTTCTTTTCCCCATTTCCACTCTTTCCCCCACTCCTCTCTTTTCCCCCTTCCTCTCTTTTCCCCATTCCCCCCATTCCACTATTTCCCCCATTTCCCCTCTTTCCCCTCTTTTCTCAATTTCTTCTCTTTTCTCCATTTCTTCTCTTTTCTCCATTTCCTCTCTTAAAATATGAAAATCCAAAAACATGAAACACATCATTATTTATTTGTGATGAGTTTCTTCCTATCTATAGTCAGAATAACAAAAGATTGACTGTCCCCACTATAAACATTAAAGTCATTCTTTCGTTATGCCGACTATATTACATTTTGTGACTGCAATTTTGTCGCGGTCGCGATTCACTTTTGTTGAGTTTCGGAACGCGACATTAGATCCTACAACGCGCACGCAAATACTATTTTGATAGATATGATTGAATTTGAACTTTGTGCAGCGGTAATAAGATCTATAATTGACTCTTAAACGTTTGAATGGGGAAATAGAAAAGGGCTGTTTTTATGGTTTTTCCGGCAATTATTCTAATTTTTCTCACCTTTTAAACCTTCCCTATACCTTCACGAACATTTCAAGACCAAGATAAGATAAATCCGTTCAGCCGTTCTCGAGTTTTAGCGAGACTAACGAACAGCAATTCATTTTTATATATATAGTAGAGTAGATAGTAGATAGATATTAATTGCTTACCTAAATTAAATAAACCACATAAAAATATAATACAGCCAGACAGGAATGTTATTAAAACGCCTCCGTTTGGACCCATCACAGCCACATAGGGTTGAATCATAAGGGCCATAATAGCTGTCGGCCCAATATTAATATCTTTGCAACTTCCCAGGAAGAAATACATGAAACAACCCATAAAACCCGCGTACAGTCCATATTGAGAAGGAAGACCTATAAACAAAAATAAAAAAATATAATCAAAAGTAATAATTTCGAATAATTTTCTTATATGTTTTTGGTTCTGCTTTCATATATTGTAAACGCCAAATCTAAAGATCCAGCGCAAATGCTCAAGTTCGTTTACTTAAAAATCGCCACGCCCATTAGCAATTTGAACCTTGTCCTTGCTTACGGTCAGTAGGGCAACGACTAGATCTTTGTTTGTTTCTTGTTTCTGTGTTTTGGTTAAAGTGACTGGTTTTATTTTTGATAATGTCTTCTATTGTGGGTGAAAAAAAGCCCAGATCTGTTATTAACGGACAAAGTCGTGAAGTAATATACAATGTTTTTAAATATTTTGACGCAACAAAAAAGGAAGGAGTTACTTTAGATGATATCAAACTTCAAACTGCACAAGCAACAGGTAAACATACTCTGTAGATTATTTGCAATTAAACTTGCGTAGTTTTCCATATTTTTTTGTATTTTACACACATATCTATGCATTTTATTTTTGATTAATATTTTATATTTAAACTTTTAAAATTTATCTTCTGTTTCTAAAAAATTTTGTTTCCTAATAAATGTAAAAAAAAATACTAAATTTAACATTAATATAATATTACGTTTTTACAGGTGTTTCTTATACTACCGTTAAAAGGTAGGTAAACAGTCAATGGAAACAACTGGAAAAATTACATTTTCCACACCTAGGAAAAACTTCCTCAAAAAATCAACCGCTACAAATCTTCCTGAATATCAATTGAGGGACATTCGAAGAATAATTTACGATTTTCATATAACAGAAAAGTCTTGTGTTACTGTTAAAAGGTTAAATAATAAAATTAAGGAAGATTTAGATATCCACATATCAGAAACTTCATTAAGAAGAGTCCTTAAAGAATTACAATTTAAATGGAGAAAAACAGAAAATAATCGTAAACTTTGGTGGAAAAAATGAAAATAAGAACTTTAAAAGTAAAATATTTGAGACAGATAAAATATTTTAGAAGTCAAAATAGACCAATCGTTTATTTAGATGAAACATATATACACAGCGGACATACTTCTTCCAAGAATTGGACAGACGATTCAACAAAAGGTTTGTTTTCTGTTATTTATAAAGGCCAAAGGCTTATTATAGTTCACGGTGGGGGAGAAATGGGTTTCATCAAAAATAGTTTGTTGATATTCAAATCAGGGACCAAGTCTGGAGATTATCATTCCGAAATGAATTCGGAAAATTACGGCGAATGGTTAAGAGAGAAGTTAATACCTAATCTTCCACCTAATTCAGTAATTGTTTGTGATAATGCTAGTTATCACAATGTACAGTCAAATCGAGCACCTAATTCCAATTCTTTGAAGAATGATATGATCGAATGGTTGACAAAATACAATATACCTTTTAGGGTCGGTCTTTTCTCCTTCAGATAAAGTTCCAGTTAACTAACCAAAGGGTATATTATCCGAGAGGTTACATCTGCCAGACAATGAGGTTTCCGTCTTTTCAAGAGAAATAATCTGTAGGGTAGTTATCTGGTACTTTTTAACGTTCTATGGTCATGTACCTACCTTCATATCAATGTATTTATACATGCAATATGTCATTCTCACTGCCACTTGTTGTCATTATTTCGTTTTGTCACTTAGTTGAAAGGTTTTTTGTATTTTTCTGATAATATTTGTTATTTAAAACTCCATAAAGCAAGTGACAAAACAGAAAACATCGACCAACTTTCAATAAGCAAGAGGATGCTTGAAACACAAAGCAGTACTGCCAAATAAAAAATTGATTCTTAAGTCTATTGCATTATAATTAACATAGATTGTTCATTTGATTAAATTGAATATTTCGAAGGTGTAGTTTTTTATTCTGTATGTTTGTAATATTGGTGCGAAGGGCATTAGTTTACACTATTTGCCATAAACTATTTTATAAATGTAAAGGCTGTTTTTTTATTATGCAGCTTAGTTAATATTTTTTCGAAAAAAAAAAAAATTAAATTACCTATACGAAACAAATAAGTAATCCACTATTTTCAAAAACACAACATCTTCAACAACGTCCATAATGTCAAATACAATAATGTGTTGACTCGTATCGCATATTATTTATTATGTCATATACCTACTTATCTATCAGTTAACTAATTTATCAGGAAGTTCAGAGGTAAGATAAGTTATCTTACAGATTAGACCAATTTATCTGCCGGTTAGTTTTATCCAAAAGTGAAAAGATGATTTTTTTAAGTTATCTGGGAGATAACGATTACCTGACACTTTATCTGAGGGTGAAAAGACCGACCCTTATCCAACAAGTTTGAAACCATAGTTATATGAACTGATTAAATCTCATAAGGACCGACATATGTAACACATGCATTTGATGAGTTGTGTCGAGAATACGGCCACACCGCTTTACGGTTACCCCCATATCACCCCGACTTGAACCCTATCGAATTGATTTGGGCAACTGTTAAGAATAATGTCAGTCAAAGGAATGTTACCTTTAAATTAGAAGACGTAAAACAATTAGCAGAAGAAGAATTTAACAAAATCGGTATGTAGGAATGGAAAAAGAGATGCGATCATGTTATAAAGGTAGAAGATAAATATTTTGAAAGAGAAATACAAACTGATTTATGTTCGGAAATTAATCCTATCGTCATTAATCCTAATGAGGATTCCAGTGACGACAGTGACGAGTCTTCTTCCAACGAAGAATCTGACGAAGACATATGAACATTATTTCTGATTTACTGTTTACGTTGTTTGTATTTACTTATAGGCTATATAAGTGGTAAGTATTTAATACCATTTCATTTTAATTTCTTGATAGTTTCGGTTTTACTTGATGAAAATCCATATTATTAAAATGAGAAAAACCAAACATGGTAGATTTTCACACTTTTATTTAAAGAAATAAAAATTAAAAATTGCACGACAATTGTTTCTAAGTACAACTTCTTCTTCAAATGTGACTCATTCACATTTCTAATATATACGGAGTGGCCCAAAAGTCTGGAAACGGCCAATTATCTCATAAATTGCTAGTCCTAATTGTACAAAATTTGGGGTACACATATTTTGGGATACGGAGATTCCAGATTTGATATTTGCAATGTTGCCAGATTTTCCGTTTATCTTATATTATTAGTCACTTTGGTATTTCAAATTGATTACCCTGTATATTAAGTCATTATTGGAATCTCCTATTCAATACGAGTTCAACCATATGCAACACTTATGATTTTATGTAGTCTGGAAGGTCTTAAATAAATAAAACAATCAAGGAGAAATGTGGTAAATGCACTCTATCATCGATTAGGGTACTGTCAACTCACAAATAAAGCACATTTTGAACACTTGATAAAGTAACCATTATGTTAAAAATGGTGTAATCTTTTAATTGTTACGTTTTAATGTAGTTTGTATTAAAAAATTTATGAGACAATCAGGCGTTGCCAGACTTGTTTTATTTATTTAAGACCTTCTAGGCTACATAAAATCATAAGTGTTATATATGGTTGAACTCGTAAATAGGAGATTCCAATAATGACTTAATATGCAGGGTGATCAATTTGAAAAACCAAAGTGACTAATAATATAAAAGAAACGGCAAATCTGGCAACATTGCAAATATCAAATCTGGAATCTCCGTATCCCAAAATAGGTGTACCCCAAATTTTGTACAATTAGGACTAGCAATTTACGAGATAATTGGCCGTTTCCAGACTTTTGGGCCACTCTGTATACAAAATAAACTAATTAGTTAAAGTAGGTACTTAAGAGAAATATATTAATAAAATTCCAATAAAATATCATTACCGGGATTATCTCACAGAAAACTAAGAACAGGTAAAGAGATTTGATTAGGCTCAGTTATTAATATCTAATTGATCACTTAAGAGAATATTTGAATTTTTAAATCTATTTATTTCAAGTGTTTCTAAATGGTTTAATTTAATGTCTTTATTCTCAAAATGTGAAACAATTTTTGCATAAACGATTGATTTTCAGATAAAAATATGTTTTGTAGAATTATTTTTGTTTTTAGTATAACTATTGTAATGTTTTAAATAGCTTTTTTTTTGAAAGTACGGCCCGTTTGACCAATATACAATTTTACCACAATTTAATTTATTTGAATAAGGATAATTTCCTGACCGTAACAGAATTTCATATAAATACCGAACGGAAAGCGGTAGAACAGCCTTAACCTAAAGTAGGCTTACTTAAAAATAATGATTTTTTAATTGACTATAGAATTATGTACTAATAATAACACTAAGCAATAGGTATGTATAAACAAGTATCATTCACTATTTTCCATTTATGTCTTAAAATATACGCGCCCCTGGTTTACAACTTTCTAGGTAAGCTACCAACTCTATTCATCGGTAGGCGTGTTCGTAGCATTATAAATGCGCGTTCTTGGTTCTTTACATTTGGCGTGTACTGTATCTACATTATATGTGGCCTTATACTTTTTTGCTTACCTGCTACAATGGCGTAGGCAATACCCTGCGGTATTTCAGTTAGTCCAACTGTAAAACCAGCTAAGAGATCTTGTGAAAAGGTTTCGAAATCATAAGACGGCAGCCATTTCAAAATCGGCAGCCTCTTCTTTCCCAATCGTCTTAAGTTTGTAGTGTTAGCTGGGCCTGAAAAGATAGATATTTCAGAATAAATAAACGATCAAACGCAAAAAACTGTTAAATTAACTGACACATGATATTATTTATTGATTAAAATGTTTCGCGACATAAAAATTATATTCTTTGTTGGAGTCAAACTTTTTAAATACATAGGTAAATATTATTTTTTAATTAAATGTGCAATTTAACAGATTTTTTTTTAAATCAACTCGTGACAAAGATTTGACAGTGAACCTAATACTATTAAATATGTTGATTAATCAAAACATGCTGATATAGCACTGCCAAAAAGTTTGTAAGAGGTCACGAATAAAACAAATACACTTTTTACATAACATCCAACTGCATTATAACCTTCAAATTGAACCTCCACTCTAGATTAAACAGAGTATATTTCGCATGGCATTTTTCAAGGCATTCGTCGCTTATAATCTAATTTAAAAGTTCATTCATCCGTAAAATTGAAGTTTATTAAATAAGTTTTAGTGTCTGTTTATATATTTTTATTAGCCGTGTAGTAATTAATAAGCTTGAACAAATGGTATTAAATTTGAATAGATGACTGTTATGATTAACAATATAGGTCATCTAAAATTTTAGATCTAAATTATATACACTGTCATGATTCTGTCATGGGACCTTTGATGTCATGTTTCCGTTATGTATCGTAGGTGTCGATAAGTTATTCAGAACAGCCTTAGGGTTGTGACTACAATGGTAATGGGATTTTGAAATTGTCATTAGAAATTAGAATTGTCAGATAGAAATTAGAATTGTCAGATAGAATTTAGGATTATCAGAGGGGTTTAGATTGTCAGGTAGGAAAGAAAATTGAGAAATATTAAAAGGATTATGAGAATGGAACATGGGATAAATGTTAAAAGTTAAAAAGTTGATGAAAAGATCAGAAAAGGTAAATACAGTTTTATTTAAATTATAAAGAAGGTTGAGAGGAGAAAGAGGAGGAAGAAGAGGAGATCAGGCAGTGAAAGAAGAAAGGTAGGAGGTAGGAGTTAGAGCAGGTGACCAGGATTATAGAAAGGTAAAAGTTGGGGGATAAGCAGTACATGGAACAAGAAAAAAGAAGAGGACCAGAAGAATATTTATTTTATTATTATTGTTTATATTACTGTTTTGAAGTCAGAGGAGTACCAATTCTACGTGCTCTAAGATATTGGAATAGTTCAACCTTTTTGAGGATCAAAATATGTTTACAAAGGACAGCCGTAATTGTTAAAGGGACTAGATATTTTGATTATGACAAACGTAGGGAATAAATTGGAGATGCGTAAGGGGTAAAGGAACCAAATATTTTTATAAGGGCAGGCTTAAGTGATAAAAAGCCCAAATATTTTTACATTGGCAGACTCAAGAAGGAACAAATATATTTTTACATGGGTAGGTTTAAGGGATAAAGGTTCCAAATATTTTAACAGAAATTGTTCAAATAATAATCAAAAGGCGACATGGAATGGTACTAAAAAACAGGGCTAGCAGTGTAAAGAACCTTTTTCGAGGTTTATCCTAAATAACGCCAATATTTCACAAATTCGTCTTTTGGTCTTCCATTGAAAATCAAATAAGTCAGTCAAAATAAGGTGAGAACCACCAATTTAGCGGCCCTAAAATTGTTTCTATTTTCGTAATTATGTCGCAATTAAAAAGTAAAATAATAAAAACTTATACCTATCAGTGAATAGAGAGCATTCACTTATTTTAATTACCTTATGACCAATTTAACGATACTCAATGATTTTTTTTTATCTAGGTACACGTGGGCAAAATTATCGGTCTTTAAGTTTATCTTTTATTTTAAAAAATACTATTATTTTCTACGAGTGTATTTGGAATATTGGAACATAAGTTGATATGTAGATGCATCCATTAAATAAATCAAATATATAATTGATTTTTCATTAAACCCCCTTGGGAATGTTTATTGTATAAAAGTGCAATTCATAACATTTGTACATTATGCTCCTATTTTAATGTACCTCTTTTACCAATTGTCAAGTGTCATTTTATCCAAAAAATTATTCATGTATTGACACAAAAATTAAGGAAAAATGTTTGATTAGAAATCAGTCAATACCTAAGAACCTTATCCTAAGAAGACAGAAACGGTCCTTTTAACAAAGAAAAGGTTGAAAATGGAATTAAAACCTCCAGAACTCCTAAACACAAAACTAAACTTTGCAACAGATGTGAAGTATCTAGGACTCACCTTTGACAGCAAGTTAACATGGAACTCGCATTTAGAAAACAGAGTTAAAAGAGCATAGATTGCTTATGAACAATGCCGCCGAACCGTGGGGCGCACCTGGGGTTTCTCCCCCAGAGTCGTCGCATGGACTTACACGGCTATCATAAGACCTATGCTAACATACGGTGCAGTTGTCTGGGTACCGAAAACCCAAAAATTAACAGCTAGCCGTAAACTAGAACAAAATCAAAGAACAGCATGTCTCAACATAACAGGAGCCATGAAAACAACACGACTAGAGCGATGGAAGTCATTCTTAGTCTCACTCCCCTTGATATTTACATCAAGAAGGTTGCTCTGACGACAATGACACGCCTCCGCACGGTCGGAATAGAACCTGATGTAGGATCTGGTGAGGCGAGACGTCACTTTTGGCAGGAGGCGCTCCCACTGCTTCAAGCGAACATGGACTCCATCTCACCGAAATATATCTTTCATAAGCCATATAAAGTTATAATAGAACAAATAGAAGAGCCGGAAGTGTCAGGTACGATTCATATCTACACCGACGGTTCTAAAACAAAACAAGGCTCAGGATGTGGAATATACTCCAGATTCTTAAACCTAAACATAAAATGGGCTGTGAGCAATAGTGCCAGTGTAGTTCAAACAGAGCTAACGAGGATTCTCATAGCAGCAAAAGAAATAACCAGAAACAATATCACTGGAAGTAACATGCTCATCTATACAGATAGCAGACAAGCACTACTCACCCTGGACAGACCACGAATTTATTCAGGGTTAGTACTAGAATGTCACGAAGCTTTGGCCGAAGTATCCATCAACAACGTGGTTACCTTAAGATGGATTAAAGGTCACGCCACATCGAAAGGTAACCGTCTTGCTGATTCACTAGCCAAGAAAGCAGCCAACCAATTACTTTTTGGACCTGGCCCTTCTATTTAGCTGACCAAATCGGCAGTGACAGACCTAATCAAAGAACATTCCCTTGTGATATTCAAGGAAAGATGGGATGAAACAAGAAACTGCAGAGTTGCCAGGGAGCTCTTAAGTTATCCTGACAACACTGCAGCAAACAAATACTTGACTATGACTAGACAGAATCTGCGCCTAGTCACAGGCATTCTGACTGGTTATTGCCAAGTACGAAAGCATCTCCATATCATGGGGCTGTCAGAATCCGCACTCTGTAGAGGGTGCGAACAAGAAGATGACACCATCGAGCATATCCTTTACGATTGCTCGACGCTCTCATTTATTAAAAGATTTGCGTTCAGCGAGTATCGGCTAACACCGGCCGATATAAGAGAATCACCTCTTGGCGACGTTGTCAACTACATTAAATCTGTAGGCTGGCTCACGAGCTAGAAGGTGCCTATGTTCTCAGGAGGATGCACAATGGGTCTAATGAGGCCTAAGTGCCGTGGGGTAACCCACCCTCTACACGTTACAGATACAGATACCTAAGAACCTGTTCAGCAAGACCTGTATAAACTTTTAATCTTGATTTTAAGAAATATATCCTAACATATTCCTTACCCTATACTATAGGTAATCGCAATTATTACGAACGAAATCCAATTCGTTATCAGAATGCATCTTCTAAAGGTGTCAAATGTTGCAGAATTTACTTTTTTATAATTTTCGGAAGATCTTGCTCTTTGCCACCAGCAACAATAATTAATATTTTCAAAATATTGTGATATTATTTTAACTTCCTCATCGGGATTTTCAGTTGCTCATAAAAACTTTCATCCAAGCAACCAAAAAAATAACTAATCTCTTGGAAATGAAGCAAAATTTGTAAGCTTAGTCCTTTCACTTTGGTACTGTTGATTGGTTTGCTTCAAAACCTACTCCCGTGAACCCATAATGGATTTGGAGCCAATTGCTTTGGTGTAAAGTTTCCATTTCCATTTTTTACGTTGACGATTTTGTACCAATATAACAAAACATTAAAGCTATTATATCTAGTGGATTTAGTTTGGATAAGAAAATACAATCAAAATTTAGGAATCGATCTACATATTTGACTAAAATGTTTCTTGGGTATAGAGCAAAACTTAAGGAGCAACATAAATAAGAATACTCATGTGAAGCGTGAATAAGAGAGGGAACGCAGAATAAACCATTGGCAATCCCATGACGCCTATGAATCTCCGACACGCAAACAGAGTGTGATTTAAGTCTTACTCACTTTTTATAAAGCTATCGTATTTCTTTGATAATACCTAAGAAAAACTTAAGCTGAATCTGTATATTTGAGCTATCACAAGAGGCTCCGACCTAGTTGTCACCTATTTTGTTTCATTTGGAATTGGAAACAGCCAAACATAAATGAGAACTATATAAAAAACTGGAAAAGGCAGTAAAATAAAAAATTATAAAAGTAAATGAAAACAAAATAGTCTGCCTACCTAAAATTGTAAAATTGTGGCGAATAGCCGAATAATGTGACTGAACAGATATGGAAAATAGAAGTAGAAGACGATATAAGAAAATTAAACATCTTCATATGAAAAAAAAAGACAGACAATACAGAAAAAGATGGGACTAAGCTCGTAAAGCTTACATATATACAGGGTAGGGTGTAAGACACATAACTCATATAGGAGATTCCTTCTATCAAATTATTTCAAATAAGATAATTATAGTAACCTAACTTAAGCAATAATGCCAGTGTAGTTCAAACCGAGCTAACGGGGATTCTCATAGCAGCAAAAGAAGTTACCAGAAAAAATATCACTCGCTTTGGCCAAAGTATCCATCAATAATGTGGTCA